CATTAGCACCTCTAGTAATATATTTACTGAGAAAAATGGTGACGTGTTCAATACTTATTTTACCCGCTGTATTTGGTTTCATGATGACTGATGGCTTTTCAGATATAACTAGAGAACATGCACTTCTTGTGAAAATGCAGTGTGAATGCTGAAAGCTGCTGAAGAAGCTGAAAATGTTAAAAATCTATAGAAAAAAAGGCTTAACAGAGCAGAAATGTAGCTTTAAAATMGCAGAAATCAGATTTAGCAGTCAGGTGGTAAAAGCTCACATTAGCAAAAATAAAAAATAAAAAAAAACTGAAAAAGAAGTACAAAGAAGTTATAATTTGTGATAAAAACACCTTTAAAAAAGCTGAAAGTAGCTTAAAAAGCAGCTGAAATTAGCCCAAAGAAGCAAAGAGAGCACGTGTTTGCTGAATTAAGCAGTAAGAAGCTGAAATTATTATATAAAGGTAAAAAACGTAAAAGAGCTAAAATGCACAAAAAGTAGCTTAAAAGACAGAACCTAAGTTAAATTGCTATAACAAAAGCAGAAGCACAAAAAGTTTAAATTAGCAGAATGGCCAAAAAAAAAGTAGGGATGCACTGATATGAAAATTTCAGCCGATATCGATATCTGATATGATTATTGCTGTTATGGCCGATAACCGATATGTACCGATATTACACAAACACACAAATTATATTATACATATATGACATTATATATAGTAGGGATGCACCGATATGAAAATTTCAACCGATATCGATATCTGATATGATTATTGCTGTTATGGCCGATAACGATATTTACCGATATTACACAAACACACAAATTATACATATACACACAACCACACTTGGGTCTTTTTTGATGCCGTAAATAAATGACCAGACCTCTGACATGGTTCCCTACTTCAGTTATTCCTGGTTACGCAGCATCCATATCACTATTATGATCAAACAGATGCTGCTCAACCAACCACCCAAAACAGAAATACAAAGATAAAAAGTGGGAAATCGATATCGGGCGTTAATATTGGCCTAGTTTTACATCTCAGACAGATACGTTATTCTAAACAATTGTCACTGTCGGCTGATACCGATATCAATACCGATGTATCGTGCATCCCTAATTATTATCATAAAATTGTATCTGTTTTTCAATCATTATTTGAAAATATAATTTATAAAAATATACTGAAATGTTATTTAGGAGAGCAGTTTGATTCCTTTTGTTCTGTTCTTATTGTCAACAGCTGGTTATTCAGTGGGATTATAATAGNATATATATATATATATCAGCCGATGTTGATGTGAATGTCGATATATCGTGTATCCCTAGAAAAAAAGCTAAAATTAGCAATAAGAAGCCAATGAAGGCTGAGATTAGCACAAATAAGCAGAACCCCAGTAAAAGTTGAAAAGTACAGTAAAGATTTAGGAACATTTTAAAGTGCTTGTAAGATGATAAAAACAGCTTCATTCATTTTCAGTGAGAAAAAAAGCAGCCAAAAAATCTGAACAGCTGAAGAAGTACAAATTGATGGAATACCAAAAGCAATTGCATCCATGGCATTAATGAGCCAAATGTTTTAATATATAAATTGTTGAAATAGCAAAAAAACTGTGGAACGAGTTACATGCTGAAAAACCTACAGAAGAAAAATGGACCATCTCAATAAAAACTTCATGTGTTTGTCAGTTTGGACACTGTTTTTTTTATTTGTAACGTTTCAGATCTTCAAGAAGAAAACATTTATGTTCCAAAACTTTTCCAAGGTAGTTTGAAGCACCATGCACAGTACATTCCACTACAAAAAAGAGAGTTTTATTGAAACAAAACAAAACAAAACAAAAAAAAATCATGAATCATTGGAATTTATTCAGTGTTTCCTAGAATAAAAGAAAGAACAAAACAAACAAAAAAGAGACAGTAAGTCAATGTCAGCAGTAACATTAATACTGAAAGTCAGACACAGAGTAATCAGCAGCCATATAAAGACTTTGCTCATCTTTTTCATGTTTTAAGTGGTATTAAGGAGTTTTTGGGGCTTTAGCTGATGTCGATTTCGGGTGTCGTGGTTGGGACGCCATGTTGGTTTTCATTCCGCCTTCTCGTARCGACGCGTGCAAACAACGTCTCCCATTGTCAGAGTCTGCGGCGGAAAGATAAAAAAGGAAGTTAACGTGCAACGAACACTCAGATGTTAAACGTGTGTTTGGTGAAACTCACCAGCGTGAGCTTATTTCCGTCGACTGCCCGTTCCAAAGTGGTCTCCTTGCCGTCCCATTTCTGTACGTGGACCAACTTCCCATTCTCTATCTTCACTAAGGACTTCATGCAAGAGAGATGCATTTGTGTAAACACATGATTGATGATCAATTCAGATTAATGTGCATCTGTCTGTGTAATATTAACCCTGTGAAACTTTAATTAAAAAGCAGCCAATATGGTTGGAATAAAACCATAAAGATGTTTCGTTGAACAGAACAGTGGAGCGAGTTTAAACGAGCAGGTCTGCTTTGTCATTTGACCTGAACTTTTCATTCCTAACCTTTCTGACCTGTTTTTACTTTTACAACACCGTACGTGTGGTGATTCATTATGTGCTTTTAGGCACGCAGCTTTTACCAGAAAGTGCTATCTCCAAACAGAATTGCTCAATGGGGGTCTGGTGCTCATTAGACTAATTACTGACAGCTTTACATATTTAGGCTGGGGCCTTACAGCTATGATTCAAAGAAATAAATCATGKTTTAAAGTTATTTACTGACTCGTTCTCCTGCACTTCAGTTTATTCTCTGAGTCGTAYCTTCTCTCTCTTTAACGTCTTTCACCTCAAAGCCTGCTTTGTTCTGACAGGTTAACTTCTAGAAGCAGAAACATCTGGAAGTCGTTGAAAGCTTCAGAGAAAGAAGGTCTAAAAAGCATGCTGAGTCTGTAGCACATAAAACTTGGGAGAACTAAAACCTTACAGCCGTTCCTCCCAAATCGTAAATAAAATTTTGGCCAACATGAGCATGAAATGTGTCTGACACTGAACTCTACTATTGCACGTTAACAGAAAGTTTAATATCTCAAAGCTTGGAAATGGTGGTGGTGGGCCTGTCCTCTAATCCACTAATAGTCGAACTAGCTCCTCATTTAGCGAATTAGCTTTTGATTTGGCTAACTCTGGAAACCGTTAGCTTCTGCTAAATTAGATTCCACTGATTTTAAGACTTTTATACCATTTTTCTTGAAATAAATAAAAACTATTCCCTCTTACAAGCAGGGCTGGACATCACACTCTGTGTGTAGCATGTAGCATCTTTAGCCGCTAAACTTCAAATTAACTATTACAAAGAAATAAAATAACATTTAACCAATAAAAAGAATAAACATAGAAGAGAAAGTATTTGCTATTTGTTGTCTGACTAACTTCAAGCTGTATTTATAAAAAGAAAAACAATCTAAAAAAAGGCTTTTATTCTGAAATTAGACAGCGCTATAACTCTGATTTGGATTGGCTGATTTGCCACAGATGATCCCACCCACCTTCAAATTAAACCAATAGCTAACAACCAGTTTGTGTCGTCTTAGCGGTTAGCGTTAGCTTCCACTAACTTTGTATCTGTTTAGCAGATTAGCGTTAGCAGAGCGAAGATTCTTGTTTAGATGATAAGTAGTTAGTGAGACTAACGTTTTGGTTAGCAGCGCCCACCACTGCCTGTGGGCTGTGCGTTTGAACCCTCACCTTAACCTTCCTGTCGTCGGCGGTGACCTCATCGAACTCCTCATCCAGTTTGAAGGTCAACTCTGTGTTCTTGACGGCGCTCTGGGTCTTCACCGTCACCTTATCGCCGTCCACACTTATGATGGTGGTGGGCTTGGTCATGTTGCCCACTGTACGAGTGGCGAAGCCCACACCTGCGTGTGAAAAAACGATGAGCGGGGAGTTTATAACTCACATTCAATAGTTCGAGTGATTTATCTGGGAAACGTCTACGATGCCGGTGTTGTACGAAATTCAGTTCCCCTGTGAAAATCTGTTCCCCCCTGTGTTGGAAGCGCCTCCCTTGGTCTGACGTTATGCCTGGACCAGATTCTCTCGAAGGTTAACCACCAGGGGGAACAGATTTTCACAGGGAAACTGAAATTCGCACAACACCGGAACTGAGTGGAAGGATAATTTATAGATGTTTATTGGGATCTGTTTATACAAGGTTGGTGCCAAAGCCGTAGATTTGCCCTCCAGGCATCTTTAGCTGACAGAAGCTGTATTTGTCTACCATCAGGCCTGCAGCATGTTCTTCAAACACTGACCTGCCCCAACATGCAAGGGTGCAAATCATTACTTAGGGGTTGTGTGTTTAAGGGATTGGGTCGGTTCTTTTTATTGGGCAATGTAGCGACACACACATACGCCCTTCCTCACCAAGACACAGAACCTGTTCTGATTCTGGTTTAGTAGAACAGGTATGCTAAAAATGGAAGTGCACAGCTACGGACGCCTCGTTGGACGGGGCCTCTGGTTTACGTGGGAACCAGGTCAGGGGCGTTAGGGCCGTGAATCTTTCCTGTCGCACACAAACAGCTGCACACTTCACGCCACCTGTCCCTATCACACACACTCACACCGGCATGTGTGTGAGACATTCTGCTTCAGTCCGCCTCACGGTTATCTGGGTTGCTTTCAATATTGAACCCCTCCCACAGCCTCAGACAATGAGCAGCTTTCAGTGGAGGTTACCACAGTGTGTGTGTGTGTGAAGCAGATGTTGGCCATTCACTCTTTCACAGTTGGGGTTTTCTTTTCTGCACTAAAGCCCCTCCTCCTCTTCCAGATCAGACCACACGTCTTCCCTTTCTTTCTCCTCCCCCATGGTTTCCATCTTCTTTGGCCTTTTTCTTCCCCTGTCTCTCTTTCCACATGCCCACTCTTTCATCTCTTTGCTCATTTTTTTTTTCATTTCGGTTCCTTCTTTGCTTCATTTTCTTTCACTTGTTATTTTAAACCTCACACCCTCCACCATGTAAACAGTTTAACCACAGATCTTCCCTTGTTATCACATGTGCTCACATGAAGCAGCAGCCCACGCCACTGCATCCTCCCCTCTCACACACGCACGCTAAAAATTTCAATCAAAAACTAAAAAGGCATCCTTACCCAGAGCTTTCATGTAATCGTCAAACTTGTCGCTCTCCTTCAGGTTCCACGTGCCGCAGAAAGCCTCGACCATGTTTGCAGCGGTGCAGAGAAATGAGGGCAGGAGCCTGGGTGTGTTTGTGAGAATGTGTGAGAGTGTGTGTGTGTGTGTGTGTGTGTGTATGAGCAGCAGCAAAGCAGAGAGGAGGCGGCACAGGCGAGCAGAGAGAGTTTAGTCAGCACCACGAGCCCTTCTGCAATCCTACTGGCTGGATGGACCGGCTGTTGTTGATGTCATCAAACTGTGCAGCGAAGGAGGAGGGATGGGTGGAGAGAGAGAGAGAGAGAGAGAGAGAGAGAGAGAGATGTGTCATTTCTAAGGATGACTAGATACAAATGAAGCACATTTGTTTTGTTTTTTTTGCGTTTTTTAAAAGTTTAGTCTAAGTTTTTGTGTCTTTAGTTTCAGTTTCTTCCCCTAGACCATCACCATCATCAACAGCTGATCATTAGACACCCATCAGCTAGATCATATACTCTATACTATAGAGAACTACATTACTGCATTACTGCACCTTTTTCATAATCATCTACCTCTACACTGCTGCTGTCGTATTACTTAATATTAACTTTGAATACTGTTGTCATATAGTTTTTGGTTAAGTGAAGTACACTGTGAATCTTTCTGTATATAGTGTAATGTGTGTGGATTATATGTTAAGCGTCTGTAAAGTTTTGATAGTAGAGAGTCACGAACTGCCGGAAACAAATTCCTTGTGTGTGTCAACATACTCGGCCAAAAAACCTGATTCTGATTCTGATATTTACTGACTTCAGTCAGGGCTGAGGCATGAGGGGGTGAGTTGGCTCAGGACTAGAAGTCATAGGTTTGATTTCCAGCCATGCTCATCACCAGGGATGAATAGTTTATGTGGGCTAGTAGAGCTCCCTGTTTTGTTCTGTTTTTTTAACAAAACAAAAAAAGGTTAAAATGTCTCAAGAAGATACCAAAAGGCTAACTGTTCACAGCCCTGTTCATTTAATGTGTTTTGTGGTGCAGAATGATTGACAGACATCTTGTCCGACTCCTCGGCCAATGAGGGTGGACGTACAGTAACGTGTCCTGGTGTGTGTGGGTGTGGTTTGGCGTAGACTGAGTAGGCACGACGGTGAGCAAGATTAACATAAACGAGGTGGATTATTTAATTTGTCGTCCGTTTTCCTTCATGCATGTTCCATATCTATATATACAGTATTAGATGTCTGTTAGCCCACCCTACAAACACCACCAGCAGCTGCCACTGCTCATCACAGCTGAGCCAGTGCATCTTCTTACCGTTTACGTCGACTGTTTCAGTTCTGTTAATACTTTGCTTTATGGCACAGAGATGCACCAGGGGTGGGCTGACTTTGACCTCTCCACAGGACCATGGTTTATTCAGAGTTCACACAGAGGCGACTGAAAGCATCTAAGTTCTGGACTGAGGTGATTTACTTGTTGCAGATAGCTCTTAGAGCGACATCAGTTTGGGGCCTTTTCCATGTAGAAACAAAGATTTCCCAAAATAATCTGTCATTTTTAAGCATGTGCTTAACGCTTGCATGCTTGGGTAAAAAATTCAAATGCAAGAAAGCAAATTTTACAAAAGGACGCCCTCAAGTTTAGTTTGGATTAGGCTGTGATGTTTACAAAAGGTTGCATTTCTCATTTCTGTGTGGACACAAGACTGACATGATTAAAAATAAATAAATAAAACTTTTGTGGATTATAAAAACAGTTCCAGTGTGGATGGCCCATCAGAACTGCTGAAACCGTCTCTCATTGAATGATAAAAATTACATCATTTTGTTCAAAGCTTTGAGTCATACGCCTCTTCTTGTAACAACTTTTTCACCCCCCTCTGTATAAAAGATTATTGTGTTATTGGCGGTCAGAAGTATTTTTCTGTGTTTGTTTATGCTGAAAGCTCTCAGACACTTCATTGTGCTTCAACTACTCATGTCCAGAAACCGACTGTTGTACCTGGACATTTGTAAAGATAGTGAAATGTCCAAAAACTCAGYGTGTAACTCCAGTAAGAAGAAACCTGTAGAGTAACGTATCCTGTAACAGGAGGGGTTTTCCAGCTGGGCGCAGTGTGTCTCAGGGGCTTTGAATGTGTGTGAAAACAAACACCGAACAACCATGTGACCACTGTTCAGCTTCAGTTATATACTGAAGCCTTTAGAATGGCTAGTTTAAAACAACTCCAACTTGAATCTATTTCGCTTCAATCGAACCACTCAAAGAGCCACCTACGGCAAGTAAGATATTAACTGTTTACAACTTTTCCAAAACCCCCACTTCAAAAGATCCAAAGTATTTCTGTGCAGACTTGAAAACAAACATTCACACACCCGTTCATGAAGGTAAATAAAACTGACTCGAGACTGTGAAAACAAGGTTACAGAAGACTGACGTGTTATAATAGAGCTTAATTTGCAAACACACACAAACACACACACACACACACACACACACACACACACGCACACATAATTTGTTTAGTTTTCGCTCAGTTCGACTTTGATCTGAACAGTAGCCCGGACTCGATCAAGGACCTCTCACCTCATGCAGATGAAAGATGGAAATCTGATCTGAATCATCTTCCAGACTGTGCTTCACTGGGTTCTGATGAACCAGAATAGTAAAAATTGACACGTTTAATCTCTACTTAAACCAGTTTACACTATAATACTACTACTACTACTACTACTACTACTACTA